GGAAGAATCTGAAGCTCGCATCGCATTACATTTTCTTTTCACTCGTTGCTTTATCCCGGTCGGCATAAATATATCATTTCTATATATTCACTCACACACAAAGAGAACGCGATGTTTCCTCCCATTCTCTGGCAGCAGCAGCCGCGCCCGCCATCAAATCATAACCCATCCATAGAATATAAAAACTTTTGAGCAAATTAAAAAAAAATCTAGACCTCTCTCTTCCTTTCATGCACAAATTTTTCCATTCTCCCTCCGCGCGCGGAGAGCGCGAGCGAGCACTCCATTCATTCTTTGACTTAATACACGTAATGCGTTAAGGGGATGGGGGTTGGTTGGTTGGTGGATGCTGATGAAAAAATGTAATATACATGCGACTGCCTGCGATGGAGACTGACTGGCTTTGCTTACGTACACGAGGCCCGTTGTTTCGTCGCTGCCGAGAGGGTCGAGGTGAAAAATTACTTTATGCAAACGACAAAACATCCTCAATTGTTCTCCATGGAATATTATTCACGACGACGGCGGCACACGAGGCATGAACGTTGCCTTTCACCGTTTGCATTAAGACTAACTTCACTAATCAAGAAATGGCATTGCCTGTGTTTTGACTCGTCGCTTGCAAAAAACAAAACTCCATATTGCTTATTGTACTGGGCGAATTTTAATTAATCAGAAACGCTTGCCAATCCTACAAAAAAATATTTCCTCATTTTCTCATTTGGAGTTTATTTTAATTGAAAATAATCACAACCATGTTTTTAATCTTCATTCAAATCGAAATGTAATGGATTGCTTTTGAAGAAAGCCAAAATTTAAATCAATTTCTTTTTGCTAAATCGGTAGAAAAATGTACGTAAACAAAACGTTCATCGCTTGATAGCAGCAGAACCACAATGACGATATAGAGCGCATCCAGTGAGTGCCCCTGCTAAACAGTGAGTAGGCTATTTGCTAAGCGTCCGTGCACAATGTGTTGCATACCATCTCTGAAACAAGGCGTCTCAGGCTCTCACAACGTAGAGTTGATTTTCATAGCGATCCTTAATTTAATTTAAGACGCTCCTCAATCTCATTTGCAAAATAGTACATTTTAACAGGGAAAAAGCTGAAAGATTTTAACAATCATGTCAATCATACATAAACTAAAATAAAAAAAAAATAAAAAAACTTTTTGATTATGAAATTTTTTACCATCAAGAGAATATTGACAAATAAATAGAAAGAATTTTTTTTAAATTTACTCACGTTAATTTTCGAGTGAATAATTATTTTGCTAGGTAAAATATGATTCTAAGGGAACATGAATCAAACTCCACAAATTTTTAACATGATTTGTGGTAATTTGAAAAAAAAGTGAACAAATCACACAAAGCAGTTTTAATTATTATTCTTGTTACGTTTCTGCAAGTAATTATTAAAAAAAATATCCAACTGGATGAACCATGTGGTTGTAATTATTTTATTAAAAAATGTTTTCAACATTAAGTTAATGTACAAAATTGATGGTTTAAATTAAGAGATCCCTATTTAATTTTTAGATACTTAATAATGATTTGACACATTTGAAAATTCTCTCAATTTTAACAATGCTATGGTAAAATTTATTTTTCAAGTTGAAAATTTCTATTTAAAATACAACTTGATGCCACCCTTGTCAAACAGGAGGCCATTGAGGCCACGACCGAGTCCACTTCGAGACCATGGTCTCTATGGACTCGAGCGTGGCCTCAGTGGCCTCGAGTTGAGGTCACTTTGAGCACTGACTCCGTGGCCTCGATGGACTCGGTGTGGTCTCCATGGACTCGGAGTGACCTCGGCGGTCTCCGTGGACTCGGGAGTGATCTCGGTGGTCTCCGTGGACTCGGAGTGATCTCGGTGGTCTCCGTGGACTCGGGAGTGATCTCAGTGGTCTCCGTGGACTCGGGAGTGATCTCGGTGGTCTCCGTGGACTCGGAGTGATCTCAGTGGTCTCCGTGGACTCGGGAGTGATCTCGGTGGTCTCCGTGGACTCGGAGTGATCTCAGTGGTCTCCGTGGACTCGGGAGTGATCTCGGTGGTCTCCGTGGACTCGGAGTGACCTCGGTGGCCTCGGAATGGTCTCAATGGTCTCGAAGTGACCTCGGCGGTCTCCATGCACTCGGAGTGGTCTCAGCGGCCTCCGAGTGACCTCAAGTTGTGATTTTGATTTTTCGCATTATTTTTAATATTTTAAAATTTTAAAAGCAGCAGATTTTTTTAAAGGCAATGTTTTTATGAAAATTATATGAAAAATTATTCTGTTGAATATTATTACAGATTACAATTTTGATTTGAAAAAATCAACCAAAATAAAAACTGAATATTTTGGCAAAAATAAAGCTGAAGAGCCTTATTACATTATTAAATTGATTAAAATATCTATTTTTTAATGACTTTCTGGTTAAGATTTTGATTAAACTGGTTTCAATTTTTTTTATAATTATGACTGATCAACAGAAGATAAATTAATAATTAATATACCTAATTTCCTATTATGATCCATTTCAACTGGCGGCTGTTTTTTGGAATTAATTATGGTTCACGTAGCAGCAAGTACAAAAACAACGCGGTTTAGAGAACAACTCATAAATACAAAAAAAAAAAAAATAATTCAATTTTGCATATTAAAAAGTTTCTAATTTTTGCAAAATAATTTTTTTTTATAATTTGATGTAAATTAAAAATTTTAAAATATTAAAAATAATGCGAAAAAATAAAAAATTAAACTTGAGGTCACTCGGAGGCCACTGAGACCACTCCGAGTGCATGGAGACCACCGAGGTCACTTCGAGACCATTGAGACCATTCCGAGGTCACTCCGAGTCCACGGAGACCACCGAGATCACTCCCGAGTCCACGGAGACCACTGAGATCACTCCGAGTCCACGGAGACCACCGAGATCACTCCCGAGTCCACGGAGACCACTGAGATCACTCCGAGTCCACGGAGACCACCGAGATCACTCCCGAGTCCACGGAGACCACTGAGATCACTCCCGAGTCCACGGAGACCACCGAGATCACTCCCGAGTCCACGGAGACCGCCGAGGTCACTCCGAGTCCATGGAGACCACACCGAGTCCATCGAGGCCACGGAGTCAGTGCTCAAAGTGACCTCAACTCGAGGCCACTGAGGCCACGCTCGAGTCCATAGAGACCATGGTCTCGAAGTGGACTCGGTCGTGGCCTCAATGGCCTCCTGTTTGACAAGGGCAGTGAATGGCGGGGAAAAAATAATCTTCATCCTTCTCTTTTAATTATGAAATTGAAGTGATTACTGGAAAGAGGCACTTTACAATTCTTGCGCTGAATAAGAAGAGCGAGGACGCAAAGCTCGTCAACCTGCTGTTGACAACACGCACTTACTTTTTCTCACAGCGAGCACATTGTCAGGTGGCGCGCACAATAAAAAAGCAGGCGCCACTCGCCGAGAAACAAGATTGCGCTGAGAGAAGGCGACATTCAAATGCTGACAAAAAGGGAAAACTTGTTTGGTAAATTACTTTTTCCAGAATTAAGCCCGCAGCTGCCGAAGCAGGCGCGTCAAATTGGAAATTGGACGCAGAGCTTTCGATCGGCGCGAGAAACTCGCGGACCCATTATCAGTGGCCGAGACAAAAAGCCATCTTGAGAGATTCATTGATGAGATGCAAATCTACAAATTTCGCAGGGAAAATATACATATATGGGGCGCACCAGCCGCCAGCAGGTATAGCGCGCAAGCGTGATTTCATTAGACTCAACCCCCTTCTTGCGCGGGCTAACTCCGCCCTTAATTAAACCTAAGTGCCTGCCTCCCTCTGCTCCAGCCTGCATGATATTTTATCAATTTGCGGTTGTTTAAAATAAAAAAATGCGCCAGTAGCCGGGCGAGTTCGCTCCTCATCCCTGCTCGGACTACTCCTTTTGTTATCCACTCTCTCTCTTCTCCACATAATGCGCTTAGGCGAAACAAAAGCCACCGAGCGAGCGAGCGAGCACTCCGCTCGCTGCTAATGAAAATTATTTTGATTAATCACAATGCCGCTTTTGTTTGTGATCATGTTCCGATAGGGGATTTCTTTGGAGCCGCCGTAAAAACAAACAGATGGGAGGAGGCGGCGCTTTATTTTGCAGTAGGTTAAAATTAAAAACGAGCCTGCCTGCCTCACTGACTGACTGAGTGATTAATCAAAGATGACTCCATTATAATTATTTGTGCGCGAGCTTGCAATGAAAAGAGAGACTGGACTCAAAAGACGGTCTTTGTGTGCGCTAAAAAATTGAGTCTGCCGCGCGCTGCATTGATGCAAAAATGGCTCGCCGCTTTTGAGTAATTACGAAATTGTGCACTGGTTCGTGCTCAGGTCTGAAGGGAGAAGCAAGTTGCTTTGGAGCGCGCATTTTTATTTCTCTCTAAACAACCTGCGTGCTTACTAAAATAAGTGCGTAAAAGGAATTAATGCTGTTGAAATTATGACGTTTCAAAAAATAATTTAAAAGAAAACTAATAGCATAATCTCATTTTCACAATCAGAGGTATTGAATTTTATAAATTATATAACTCTAGAAAATATATTTTTTAAAAATGCCAAATTTAAGAAAAAAAGAAATAAACAAATGAAAAATGCCAAATGAATAATAATTTACCATTTTGAGTCTACATAATATGAAAGTAAGAATTATCATTTATTTAAATTTTGTGGTAGAATATCATGATCAAGGGTTTATTCATGTTGATTTAAAATTAGTTTTTCCCTGATGGGCTTTCCGAGTTGTTTATTGTTTAAGAAATAACAATATTATTATGGCTTCAGTCCGCAGCCAAAACATGGAGACTTTAGAGCAGGACATTTTTCTCTCAAACAATAAACAACTCACAAGACCCATTGAGAAAAAGCTTATTTTAAATTCAAATCACAAGTTATTTAAATCTTCAATTAATCAAAATTTGTAATATTAAAAATAAATAATTGAATTTGAAATAAATGCATCCAAAATATGCATTAGAACAAATTTTATTTAAACGTATTCCTTCATTTCACATAATATTCAGTTTTCGAGCAATTCTTACAAACTAATTAATGTGCCCAGAAAAATAAAGCTACAAATTTAATTGAAGCCACCACCACATTTATATGTCATCTTGCAGCATGCTTGCATTCAGGGTCACCTTCTCACCAGGCTTGAAGGCTGGCATTCCTAGGTAAGGGCAAGAGGCGCAGCGGAAGGCATCCCCTAAGTAACAGCTTCCGCACGAGGATTTGGGTTGGTCCTGAGGTTTTGGGGTTTCGTCGCCAGCATTTTCAGCCGCAAGGACTTTGTCCAGTCCGCAGCTGCAGTCCTTGCACGCCTTCCTCTTTCCGGTGGTGCCGCAAACCAAGAGAGAGGCAGCGTCTGGCTTTTTGAGGTCTTCCTCGTCGATCAGCAGGTCGGGGTCAATAGTGTCCTCCAAGGTGACCCCACCTTTCTGGGCAGCCTCCCACACAGCCTTTGCGTCTTCTTTCAGTTCCAGTTTCTTTGAGCTGCCGATTTCAAAGGAAGGTTTTGTGCACGTGACTTCAATGCAGTCGGCGATGGCTGCCTGCGGAACTGGTTCGGAAATGTTGGCAAAGCCAGAGAGCACCAAAGTTGACTCGAGGTCGTCTGAGCTGGGCTGAATCACAACTAGTCTACCACTTGATTTGAGAATTCGACTGACATCGGCCAGAAGGACGATATTTTCTACTGCATTCAAAGGTGATTTGAGGACTTTGGCAAGGACAACTGTGTCATATTTGCTGGCCTCAAGTTTGGAGGTGCCACTGCCAGACCCAAGCTCAAAGTTTGTACTTCCAACTGTGTCTGATAGCTTTTGAGAGACCCTGAAAGTAAAGAAAAAAATTAATTATACAGATCAGTAAAAAAATCCAATTTCATTAGAGGTTGAAAATTTTCTGTCATGAAATTTTCAAACTTGAGCTATTAAAAAAGTTTTTAACCCAATTTTACCTTGTACAATCATCGCTGGTTGTTTCATTTTCGTTCCAGAGTAGAAGAAGTTTTTCTCCCGTCTTTATCGAGTCCATTTTACGCTGCAATTAGGACAGGAATTGCAATTCCAGACGGTTCTCTTAGTTCTCTCTGTTGTTTTTCTCTAGTTTTTGTTATCTTTCCTCTTTACCCATAACGGCCACGCCCACCTTTAGGTCCTTTAAAATTCAAATTTCGCGCTGCCCCTTGCGCACGACACCTCTCTTTTCTTGATTGTTGCGTGATTTGAAATTTCTCCCCCACTCGGCCGTGTCTGTTTTGCCGACAAGTTCGAACTTGTTTGATCTTGCTTAAATCCGTCCAGACGCTCCAGAAAAGAGGATTCCCTGCATTTCATGACAGAATTCAGCCGAAATGAATTTGAACGTCGGACCGTGAGCATTTTTCCCTCCTATTCTGCCACTTTTTCTGTCAACACGCTGCCGGTTGCCGAGAGCGACTTTTTTAGACACGATTCCCTAAATACTTGCAACATTTCGTGTAACCACAATGCATAAATCTGATATTTTGCGTTCTCATTTATGCAGACACCAAGTTGAGAACGACCATGATGACAGCGAGCACAGCCACGCCGAGTCAAGAGAAGGAACAACCGACGACGAGCCGATGGTAATATCGGATGTTGTGCCCTCGCAAGCCTTCCAACCACCTGTGGGGCTGCCCGATGGACCTTTGGCGGCCCACCGGGGCCCTCCGACGGCCCACCATTTGGCCATCCCGTCGGCCCACCAGTTGCCTCAGCAAATGCACGACGTCCACCAACAACAATTTGCAGCTCACCTTCCAAACAATTTTTATCCGTCTCAAATTCAACCGAATTTCACAAGCCAAATTCAACCCCCTGCTTACCAAAATATGGTCACAAACCACCCCAGAATGCCAATGAACACCTTCACCCACCATGGTTATCCTAGCACCATCCAACAGTCGCACGGACAAATTGTGAGGGCCAACAATATCGGGCCTGTTTGCAGAAATGTCTCCAACCAAGCCACTTGCGAGCTTCCGAGCATGGAGGAGTTCCCCGGAAACTTTGATTTCCAAATTCATGTGGCCAAAGCCTTGGAGGACAGCAAACGTCCTGCTTGGGAGGTAGTTAAAATTTTAAAAGAAGCTTTAATTTAGAAAAATATTAATTTTGTCCATTTAATTGCAGTACTCCGAGATACTCAACAAATTGTATGTGATGGAAGGGCGAAATGTGCCAATTCAATTTAAGGTGAACAATATAGACCCTTCAATGTACGTCCGTGCCGTAGCTGTTTACTGCGATCCTGATTCTTCTAATAAGCCGGTGCTGAGATGCCCCAAACACATGAGACTTGACGAACCCCTAAACAAAGGTGAGATTATATTTTTATTTGAAGAAAAAAAATCTTATCTTTATATTTACAGACTACGGCTACATTGACCATGTAATTCGAGCCAACAACCAGAACGCCAGCTATGAAAAAGACCCACAAAGTGAGCGCAGAAGTGTTTCTGTACCTTTGGGAATACCTCAGCCTGGGTCTGAATACGTGACCGTCCTGTATTCCCTGATGTGCCGAAGCAGCTGCGACAACGGCATCAACAGAAGAAGCTTGGCCTTATTGTTTACTTTAGAGATTAGGTTTATAATTTATATTTTCCTTCCTCTTCCTTGTAATCGCATAATTTATTTTCAGTGGAAGGGTGATTGGTCGACAAGTGCTTCCCATCCGAATATGTGCTTCTCCTCACAGGGATCGGATGCTAGATGAAAGGAAAGCCACCAAAGGCAGTATCTGCGGACAGGCTAGTCCGGGTGGACTAACTGTGAAAGAAGAGGACATGTCCTCAAGAATGAGCCATCTTCCAGAATCTCCTGATGATCACCTTGGACCATTGGACCAAATGTTCTTCGTCCCTGTAAGTTTTCACATCCGGTGGAATATTACTTAATTTTATCAAAATTATCAAACTTTATGCAATGATTATCTCTTAGGTAAATAACTGTGATGATTACATCGTCCTTGCTCGTTTGGCCAAAGACCTTGTTTTGAGGGACTACCCTGAAGGCCCCCTAAAAGACGCAGAACTGAACAGGTACCAGTCCATCCTCAACACCATGGGCGACAACCAGCAGTGAGTTTGAAGATACTGAGTTTGATGGGTACTGATAAAACTATCGAATACATTGTTACGACTATATTATGTTTATTGTTTACGAGTGCAAACAATTTTGCACTCAAATCATGCAGTTCAATGATGCACAGCAAGAACTTTTGTATATTTTCATTTATTTTGTAACGAGACTTCATGAAAGTCTGATTAAGTTTTATTATAAAACATAGCATCAACCAACAAATCCAGTTTGTTGTTGCAAACCTTCAAACCTTAACAACAAAAATAATTCCAACATAATTTATTTAACCTAAAACATCAACAACAAGTTTAAAGAGAATTGTACATCAAAGGTAGTTAACACGATATATATTTTATAATAAGCAATGATTAAAGCTTATCATTATCAAGCAGTTTTGTGGCAGATCTAGGGGCCCTAGGCCTTCAACTAGACCATGTAAAGGTTTTGTCTCAAAATTCGACACTACCAAGCGTAGAAAAGTTTCCCAACTATAGTATTTGTGCTTGATTACATTTTAATGCCATTTTCGAGCCGCCTAGGTCTGCCCGAATGAACACTCATGCTCGTAGGATTATCATAGTGGATGAATTCGTTGGCTCTCGAGGGGTTAAGTTTGGAATATGCGGAATTTTAACCGGAATGCAACATTTAGTTTTGATTGATTAAGTATCTAGAGAGCTTCTCACTACTGGTGTCGTCTACGCGAGGGGACAAAGCATTCCCACTCGTAACTTCTACAGGTGCACCTTATTCGGAAAGTCGATCGACAACATACTCTGGCTGAAAATTTTAAAAATCATTTTAAGTTTTGTTAATTCACAGATTTATTAATCGGACGTACTGAGACAAACCACCAGGAATTTTCTTTGAAGATGGACTTGTGCAAGAAGGTCATGCTGCTGGCTGGTGAAATGGCGTGCAGGTGGAGGTGACCGACTGAGTTGAAAGGTGGCCAGTGGTACCCGTACCTGGCGTCAGTTATGTCTCCACCTCTCTCAAGCAACATTTGTCTTCCGAGCTCCATTAGCCGCTGAGCTGTGAAATTCGATTAACTTTATCAATCTCAAGTTTAAATTAATTTTTACCTATTTTCTTTTGTGGCTTTGTGAGTGCCCTTGCATTTGGAATGTGCTCTCTGGTGACAATCAATAGATGGTGCTTAGCTGCCGGCTTAATGTCGGCAAATACAACAAAATCCTCATCCTGAAGTTGAATTAGAAGATTGTTAAGGGGGTTTCCAGTTTTGGATGTAAAACATACTTGAAAATATATGTCGTTCTTTTCCTTTCCATCGAATATTCTGCAAAAAACGCACTTGTCTCTTTCCACAGCCATGTTTCAACAGGTAATTGTAGATTCCTCAGGTGTTTGTATCAAGGTTTTGTAAAATTTTATCTTAAAAAGATGATTTTGTTATCTAGAATGACTAGAATCCCAGCCCTTCACCCGAAAATCTAAAGGGTTAAAGCTGCCAACTTAATACGAAAAATCAATTAAATTACTTTCTGAGAAAAGCGCAAAAGATTAAGCCAAAACCTAATTTTATTCAATTTCTGAATCTAGTATTGAAAAAGTAGCATTCAATTTTGAATGAAGCAAGATTTTTCTTGCTCCTTAAATTTTAATCAATAAAATGTATCAAAAGCAATGTAATGTTGCAACACTGCTGAGCGATCTGTCAAACGGGGGCGTGGTCTCTCGCATATGATGTAACATCAACACGAGATCGACTCGCTAGGAGTGGGAACGAAATTAAATTTAATTCGCGACTTGTGCTGCGCCAGAGAGCACCTGCAAAATTATTTTCTTATCGTCCAAGTGAGTTAAGGAACGAACTTTGCCTTTTCAGCTTGATAACGCACGTAATGTGGCCTCGCACAATCGACCACGACTTCTGCGGAGAAAGATTTCGCACAAAAATCACCGTGTCTTCTCCGAATTTATAACTATTGCGTGTTGAGCCGAGTCGTCCCAGTGGAAACATGATGATTGGAAACAAAATTTGCACAAAAACGTAAGTTGCATTAGTTGCAGGTTTAATATTTCAAGGGCGAGAGAAAAAAAAACAAGGCACTGTGGTCAGATTCGGATTACAGAGTCACTTGATTTTTTTTCTCGACTCAAGGTCGCTTTTCTCTTGCCTTCAAAAGATACATATATCATTTATGTTGCATAAACTTGTTTTAATTTGTTTTCTGAAAATGCAAAATTCAAGCCAATTCATATGTACAAATTAATTTTCTTTCAACATAAAACACGTCACCAATAGGTTTGTGTAAGGGCAATTTATAACGTTACTTTGCGATTGCTTGCAGGTGATTTGATTGCACCAAGGCGCTATAAGTGCCCTAGGGCAAAAGTGAAAGTGACTCAACTAGCGTGGAACGATTGAATAATCCCCTGTTTATTCGCAACTAGTCCTCGACATGGAAACGCTGAGGTGCGTCTTTTGGAGATGATCTATAATGATTAAAATTTAGTCTATTTCTGGAAAATACTTAATTTGATTTTGGACTTGTTCCAGGTTTTATTTTCTCACTTGGAATGTGGCCACTCAGCCTCCAGAAGAAAATTTTGCAGATATGCTCTGTCTTTCGCGCGAAAAATTGCCAGACTTTTACATCATTGGGTAATTAAAATAAGCCTATGCCACAAAAATTAAAATAAATCTAACATGAACCAGAAAATTAATGATGATAAATGACCAAAATTAGCTCATTTGTGATATTTTTAATGAATGCCTGAATGAATTTATTAAAATATCTTTATTTACTTAGAAACGTCTAAACTTTTTTTTTTAAATTAAAAATTAATGGATTTAATAATTTTTTTTCTTTTTAGCCTGCAAGAAGTAAAGGCCCAGCCTCAAAACTTGTTAATGAATGCTCTCTTCGATGACCCATGGAATAACAGCTTTAGGTGATTTTTGTTTTAATCTTTTTATAACTCATCTATTTAAAAACTTAATTTGTCACAGAGATTTGCTCATTGCCAAAGATTTTGTCAAAATCAAAACAATTCGCCTTCAAGGACTCCTACTCAGCATTTTCTGCCAAAGGCGTCACCTCCTCAAAGTCCGAGACATGGAAACTCAGTATACCAGAACTGGACTTGGCGGAATATGGGTAGATAATTTACATTTTTCTAAAAAGAAAAAATATATTTTTGGGACAATGCAGGGCAACAAAGGTGCCGTGAGCATCCGCTTGGCCATTTCCGGAGTGTCGATGGCCATTGTCAACTGCCACCTTTCGGCCCATGACCACATGAAGGAGGAAAGGGTGGCCGAATACAACACAATTCTCAAAAGCCACACTTACTCTATTAAAGAGACCAGCTACGTTTTATACCATGAGTAATAGATTCTTGATTTTAAACCGCATCCAAGACTAATTAATTTTTACAGCTATGTCTTTTGGCTCGGAGACTTGAATTTTCGTCTCAAAAGTGGTGCCAAGGGCAGTCTGACTGCTGACCAGATTGGATCCATGGTCAGCAGGGGCGAAATCAACGAGCTCTGCCAACATGACCAACTTAAGGAAGTGATGAAAAGTGGAGATGCCTTCAGTGAGTTGCGAGAACCGGCTATCGAATTTCCACCAACCTACAAGTTCAACATCCATTCCAGCATTTATGATCTCAAGTAGGACAATTTGTTATTTGTGTTGAAATGCTAATTTGAATTAATGCCCTTCAGACGTCGACCGGCATGGACCGATAGAATTCTCTACAAGGTCATACCAAACGTTTACGAGAATTTGACTCTCGACTGCCAGCCAATGTCCTACCGCAGTTGGGATAAATATTATCAAAGTGACCACAAGCCAGTAACGGCAGAGTTTGCTGCCAAAGTATATTTAATTAGAAAATATTTAAATTGTTTATTAATTAATGTCGTTCAAAGGTCATCAGTGATAACCACGACAGAGTTGTGGAGTTTGAAAACATCCAGAATTGGTTCCTAGACAGAGAGAATTCTGCCACTTTTGAACTTTCAGCAGACATAAGTTTAGAATCCGGCAGTGACTGGATTGGAATTTACAAAGTACATTATTGATCCGTTTAATTTATTCACATTTTTAATCTAATCATAAAATCAACCAGGTCAACTTCGCCAGTCTCGAAGACTACGTCTTCTACATTTACGTGCCAAGAACATCACAGACTGCGGGTCGCATGACAGTCACTTTCCCAGACATTGCGGTCGCCGAAGCTGGTGTTTATCAACTGTTGTATCTCACACACAACTCAGCAAGTGTCTTGGGCATGAGTGCCCCTTTCCTAGTTACTAAGGCAGATCCGACAAGATCGCCACAACGGCTGCGCTTCTGACCTTCACCGTACCGCGAAATCAACAGTTGAAACTTACACAGGTGTCCACCTAAGTCCCCATTGTATCTTCTAGTTTATCAGTTCAGACTGATTTTTGTTACATCATATATTTCCGTACTAATTCTGTTTTTCAGAGATGAATATATATTACCTCCTAAGTCAGACTAAGTTATTTTGTCATGTGCGAGTAGTTAATTATTTGTACTAATGGCTGGCTCCATATTTTGTTAAGATTTGTGCCACTTTTGATTTTATTCTAGAAAATTTTACTGCTGGCAAATTTGATTATAGCCCAAGCAATTGTCAGTTTTGTGTTGGTGTTAAGTAGACAATAATATCTTGTTATTTTTTTGTGGTAATTCGTGCTAAAAGCTAGACTCAGAATTGTGAGTGTTGTAAGTGTTGGATGATTTTGAAAACGCTGACGACCAACAAAAATGCTAGTTTAATATATATTCGGCAGCTGCTGGTGCTTTTTTGGCCACTACCACAAAAGGCACAGAAAAAGTAATGTATCTTACAATTAATAAAACAAAGCAAAGCAAACTGATTCTAAACCTTTCATTGGCATCTTAAAGTGTAATTCAATAAATACAACAGTTTTGCTTTAAACCAAATTGAGAAAACTTTATTTTGTAACCTACAACAACAAATGAAATAAGTCAAATAAGTGAATTGTTTCTCAAAATTAAGCTACACAAATAAGGAATACATTTTACTAATGACAGCAATCTAAGGAATAATTTTTTTTAGTTATTATACAAACAATTAATAAGTAGTATCATTTGATTGCAAGAAAACGTGGACTCCCAAGGGAATGATTGCATGTGTCGATAAGAGTCGAGAAAAGGCCTAAGTGCCTGGCAGGGAGCACCTCTACCGCTTAAACTTTTGACGTCAAAGTTAACATTCACTTTGCTATACATACTCTTTAACTAATTTAGTCCTCCTCTCATCATCGTGGAACCAGGCAAGCTGCTCATCAGGAGAAAGTTTGTTCCACATTTCTTCAACATTTTTTTCAGTCAGACTTCTTCTTGTCAGTGTTGAGTCTTTTGAATTTTTTCTTGCTCTCAATGGCGAAAATGTCATGGGCTTTCTTGCGTTTGAGAGTGGTGACATCGGATTTGAAGACGTTGGTTGCAAGTAGATCTTCAAGCTTTTGCTGCTTCTTCTTTTCCTCGGGGGCCGGATCCACATCGATGGCCTCACGAGGAACAGCTGCTTCGACAACGGCCTATATTGATATAAAATATATTATGAGAAAAAATATCAAATAAACTCTTTTCAAATGCTTTACAAACCATGATTATTAAAAAAAGTATTTTAGCAATTACCTCCTGAGAGTTGAAGATGGACTTCAGACGATCGAACAGTTCTTGATCCAACGATTCGATTGGTATCGGTGATCCCACTTGTTTTCCGCCACTACCAGATGGTCCAGAAGCTGGCGGGCCCTCGAGATGCATCAGAGATGCGGTAGTTGGGCTGGCCGATGGAGTGATCAAAGGATGACGAGCAGTAAGAGAGGGGCGCATCATGGCCAGCGGGCGCCCATGCAGAGCTTTGTACTAAGGGGAAGATGACCAGGTGGGCTGGTAATATTGCCGAGGGTGCAGGGTGCTGGTTGCCTGTAAAAAAATTTAAATTATGAAATATGGGCTCTTTGCTGATAAAAAGATTTTTACGCATACTGGCTGAGAAGGACCAAGCCACGAGCCTTGTTGTCTAGGCGAAGCAGTAGCTGTGTGTGCTGCCCTTGAGTTAGTTTCCAACAATCGCCAAATATCATCAGCAATAACGTTGGTAGTAGGGTGTTCAGAGGGATCAGTGCTGTATGACTGAAAGAAGAGTTGAATAATTCTAAATATCATGAGGCCCTTTTCCACAAATAAGGTATACCTGCAAAGGATGAGACATTTGATCTTCAGTCCTAGGACGCCTAGGAGCTGAAGCTTCAGCACCCTCAGACTGAGGACTCTTCTTGCTTTGCTCGTGACCCATGTTCCTGGAAAGTGTCAATATTTTAAGTTTAAATTTATTTAAGTATTTAAACAAAATTATTGACGGCCACTTGGGAATTAATGTTATAGTGTTGCAGTCTTATAACTTTAGCAGTGGCCGTTGGAGTATTGTTTGAAATTTAAATTTTATTTTTGCATTATATAATCATCAACATTTAAGTTTTCTTTGATCAATCCACCAAATACCACGCACATTTTGTCTAGTGCCATGGCCTCCGATGATATTTATGTGATTTTATTAGTCTCTGGCAAAGGTCTTTACTGCTATCACGCAGAAAGTCATTAAATTATAAAATTATTGCTAATTGTAAATCCACTAAATATTTCCTTTTATTCATAAGCTGATAATACATATGCGCACTTTATTATAATTGATGCCTGTTCAGGGGCGTAGATCATTTCTGGCTAATTTTTCCGAACGCTAATTTTTACACACCTATAACCCTCTTGGTTGAACTTTGCCTCCGAACAAAAATTTTCATGATTTTTGGTGACCATCTAAAAATCCAGAACAGGTCATTCTGATCATCTCTCGCTACTGTCTGTGAACGCTAATTTTTACCCTAGCCCCTCTGGTTTAACTTTGACTAGTTTCATGACTCGGACAAAAAAAAATCATTGTTTGCGGCGAATATCTTAAGTCCTAAACAGACCATTCTAATCATTTCTGGCTTACTTTCTGCAATAATTTATTTACTGCCTGGCATGACAAAACAAATAAGTTGCTCGCTTTAAAAAATATGCTAAAAAAATTAATTCCTTTTGATAAAAAAAAAAAAAATTACTCAAGGGCTAAAATTAAAGTTTCCAATTCGATTTCAATAAGCATTAAGACATTACGAATCTCTAATTTAAACCGAAAAACGCAATGTCGCTGAATCTAGAAAATATGAAAAAAGATTATTTAATTCATTACTTATTAACATTAGTACCATGCTATTTTTTCCGCTCGCTTCGCTTGGCATTGTGTTTTTTCGCTTTTTCTCGTACATATATGAAATTATTTTTTCAGATTTAAAATGATTAATTGCTATTTTTTTCGTCCTTAATAAAATAAAATTTGTGTACAAATAGCGTGAAATGCGCCACCAACGGTTCCATTTTCGCGGCGAAGCCGGTGCGCTCGAGGCGTAACCGGCGGGCCAGGGGCCCGGCAGAGGGCCGTTGCCGTCTCGCAAAATTGGGCCGTCTAGTTGGCGTGGGCCGCCGATTTTGAAATCGCTCCATGTCTATAAGCGATAAAAAAAGATTTTTCTTGGCCAAATAGCTATGGCCAAGGCCAAATACGTGACACACAACCGTAAAATACATATTAGGAGAGGACTCATGAAATGAATTTAAAATTCGGCGGCTGCAATGGCTTTTAATTCGCCAACCGCCGAATATTGTGCGACACGGTTGAGCCGGCGATTCGTGAGCTGGCCGCACCGAACTTTAAATTATCTATTATCTATCGATACAAAAACCGAAAAATTCGGCGGTTGAGATAGCAATAATTGGCAATTAGCCAGCGCCGACCATTTACTGTCGGATGAGAAAATGAATTTTACCATGAAATAATGGAGAAAGGTTGATGATCGCTGAACTCGTCAACGTTCTTCACTGAGCCGAGTCCAGGGAGCAACAGATCACAGAGCCAATTCGCACGCCACTCAAGCTCATCAACTCGGTTCCGAATTTGGGGTCGACCAATCAGAACGCTGCTTAGACGATGAGCGGGAAGAGGCGCTCAAGGGTACTCGCGCCTTTTTTGCTATGAATTTAGTTTTATGTAATTTTTATGACATAAATTCGCTTTTTTGCGTTAAAAAGTTGAATTAAATGAAATTTTTGCATGGAAATAGAAAATTCAACATTTTCTTTGATAAGAAATGCAAATATTTTTATAAAATGTTTGATATTTATGCCATTAATTGAGCTTTTAAAGTTTTTATATAAATGTTATATAAATCGAATTATTAATTTTTTGCGTTCTTAATGAAATAAAATCAGGAAATTTTATACAAGATGAAACTTAACTATGACCCTGTGATATTATCTATAAGTTTTTTTTATGGCTTCAGCGGTAAATAAGCCAAGAAAAAAGTTTTACGCATGATTATATTCTTCAGCATAAAATATTGTTAATAAAATTAATTTTAACAATGATTTTACTATTTATTATGCTTAGACGATTGAGCGGGAAGAGCTAGGCGCTCGCGCCTTTTGTTGCAAAATTTTTATTTTATGTAAGTTTTATGAAATATAAAAACCATTTTTTTAATAAAGGAGTTGATTATAAAAGAATTAAATCGGAGGGAAATAAAGATATTAGAAATTTTCTTTATAAAAATTGAAATTATTTTCAAAAATTTTGTGAAATTGTGTATAAATCGAACTGTTAATAAAGCTTGGAAAAAATTTACATTTATATTAATATTATATACCTCCTGCATAACTCATATTTAAAAATTAATTTGCTTTCACATTATTTTAGATTATTAGTACAATTATTTACTGAAATTATTCCATTTAATATGGAGACATTTATTCCTTGATAGTTTTACACTTTGGTATTAATTTTTACAAGATTCTCTCCAAGGGTTTTCACTCTAGTCTCGCACCAAAAGACTCGAAGGATTCAGCAAAATCACAAAGGGCAGGGCAAGCTCCATTTTTCACTCAGGCTGAAACATAAAAGCACAATTATAATAAAAAATGTTTCGAATAAATAAAGTCTAATGTTTCTTACAATTAATAAAACAAAAAGCAAAGCAAACTGATTCTAAACCTTTCATTGGCATCTAAAAGTGTAATTCAATAAATACAACAGTTTACTTTAAACCAAATTGGGAAAATTTTATTTTGGAAATACGACAAAAAATGAAATAGGTGAATTGTTTCTCAAAATTTAGTTACACAAATTAGGAATACAACATTTTACTAATTTCTTTTCTGATAGTGAGAAAAAGTAAATCTCAGGTACACTTCAACATTTATTTTAGCACTTGTTCAGAGTGAAGTAAACTTGCAGTCCCCAATGGTCACTTGTGTAGCACTGCATGTTAGGTACTTTGGCAATGCCGACAAGTCCAAAGTGATTAGCAACAACTCTGTCGGCCTTGTCCTTTTTGCAGACACTCAGGTAGGCACGGTCGAAACGCAGTCTCGGCTTGAACTGTGTCCCTTTGGAGTTGCCTTCGGTACTGCCGAAGTTTCCAAACTGGATGTTTGAATTGCGCGCAGCATCCCAGGTGAATTTGCACGCCTCCCGTTTGTCACAAGCCTCCCACAGATCGAGGGCTCCGGACGGTATTCCACCAGCCAGCGGGAGCTAGGATTTTAAAACAATTTAAGCACAAAATAAAAATTAACTTTTTTTCTTGTTTACTTCCGTGTCGCGCAAGTTGAGATCGCCAGCAAAGAGGACGTGGTGGGTTCGGGACTTTTCAGACATATCATTGAACACTTGCTTAAGCTGGTCAACACGGGCCTTCTTGTATTGAGCTGTGCTTTCCAAATGCGTGTTGAGGAGCCACATTTTGATGTTCGCCACTTCCACCTATGAGGGCATAGTTTTTTTTAATACACTATTAATTTAATTAAGTTCTTACCTCAACACTAAGCAAACCCCTCATCATTAGGGTATTGCTGTAGCTCACATCTTTCTGGCTCAATACTTTGACTGTGTCTTTCTTGACCAAGGTGGTGACAAAGTAGGCTTCTGAGAGGTTTGGGTAATCCTGCACCACAAACTGATACTTCGAAAGATTTGATTTGAGCACATCAATGGTTTCTGGCACAACCTCTTGAAGGAAAACAATATCTGGAGCTTCTCTATAAAAAAGTTTGGTTACAAAATATATTTTATTTAAATGTCAAATTTACTGGGTTAGGATTTTTATTAGATTAGCCGTCCGAGGGCTAAGATTTCGCTTGTCCAGCCCATCAACGTTCCAAGATATAAAACTGAATGTTCCTTTCACTTCTGAGCTCGAAGCAACATTTTTGGCCCTTAAATAAATTAAAAATTTAATCAAAACTAATTTCAAATAGGAACTTACATCAATAGATGCGTTAAATGACTACCATAAATCATAACTCTTTAAGTAAATTATTCTTTCAAAACTAATCATAAATCACTTATATTATTGATTGGATAAGAAAATTTACTGAAATTATTTACAAAACAACAGACACGTATGTACTAAACAATTTAGTTATAATAATATAATTATATAAATTATTTTTAAAAGCTTAATTATCATTCATTATTTATGATTTATCTTTTACTCAAAAATAATAAATCAATAATGCATACCACGGCTCATTCTTCAGAGTATTAGCCAAGGCAGAGTTTTTCTCATCTCCCAAAATGTCCCCACTGAGATTCAGGAAGTCATTGACAGCGATCTAAGGAAAAATTTTGAAGTTGTTTTATATAAACAATTAATTAATATATAAAAAAATTCACTTCAAGTTTCCAGTCGTGTTGACTCAAGAAAAACTCGGCGACTTTGCTGTCAGTCTTTGTGATCAGAATGAACTCTTTTACGAGTCTTGTGCACTTCTGAGCTTCAGACTCGTCTTCCTTTTTTTCAGATTGAAGATCATCATCAGAGTCTAACAAAAGAACGTCAGATATTATGCCATCGGCTGCTGTTCCTGTGTTCAGTCTCTTAGATTTAGACTCTGCCCTTTCAAACTGGACTTCTTCGTCGCTCGAATCACCGAGCTCCACGGTCTCTATGCTGTCTATTTTCCTTTTTACTGCGTCGCCCATCTAAGAAAACAAAACCTCTTAGTAAAAGTTCATCAAAATACACAATAATGCTGCAAATTCGATTATAATTTTTGCTTTTATGAAATACATAATAAGCACAAAACACGGATAATATTAACAACCAGATCTTGTTGAATATATTAATAGCAATTTGTAAAAAAAAGCCTATTAGCTGGTTTTGTTTTGCTGGCAAAATTTTTAATTTACGAACGTTGTCAATCAAAAATTATTTAATTTTTACCTTTCAGATGCTCAAAAGCTCAATAAAAACGAGTGAAAACAGGACAATAATCTTCTACAGCGCTGTTAATTAACTTTGTTTTCAATTATCTCCAAGACTCCAAGTAATTTTTAAGATGCAATCCACATGGACATGGGATAAGGGGGCGTGGCGTGGCATTAAAGAGGGCGGCAGGGCGCGAAAGCAGAGGGGGGCGTTGCAGTCGAGTGGTAAAAAAGACAGCGGGCATGCCATAAAATCGTTCCTAGCCTAGCGTTTATCAGTGGACTCCGGGACTAATGGGACTATAATTATGCATATTTTTTTTTTTTTTTTTAATCATGTCTCAATAGTCATTACATTACATCCATGAATTAAAAATTTTGTTGCCGAACCAGAACCAGCAATTATAGCAAAATCGATTTATTTTTTTATTTTTGCTTAACTTATGTTTTTCACATTTTTTCCAACCTCCAAAGATGAAAAAAAAAATGAGTAAGAAAAAAATAATGCATTGGTCCACTTCACTATGGATCGAACCAAGAAAATCGTAAATAATCTGCAGAAATTATTTTTCGCTCCTTTTTTAAACGAAATAACGATGTATCTAATTTATTTGAGTATAATTTTCAATAATAAATTAATAAATAGGAAAACATGTAAAAATTTCTTGAATAAATAATAAAATATGAAAATAAATAACTATAGTGATTAATTTGATATGTACAAAATGTTTTGCTTTAAAAGAAATTAAAACTAATTAATTAAATAAAATTAATTACATGAATGTAATTAAACACGCGTAAAAATTTTCTATTTTGTGAACTTTAATATTATGTGTAATTTAAAAATAATTTATTTTAAATTAAATAATAAATTATATTAATGTAATTTAAACATGCATTTACATTTTTTTAAATTTTGGATATTGTTTTGATTACAAAAAACATCATTTTCAATTATGTTTAAAGTCATGCTCAGTCATGCTAAATAAGATTATTTGAAGATATTTTAACTTTTTTTTACAATTTCTTTTGCTTAAAATGTTTTGCATTTTGTGTGTGGCTGAAATGTGACTGAGGCAATATGTGAAAAAAAAAATGCATTGTGGTCTGATCAATCTGATCCATGTTTGGAGGTTGAGGCTTTTTTCGACCACAAAAAGGGAGTGACTTTTTCGATGTATTGTCTGATATCTTTTTTTGCGATACAGCGGTTGCGGTGCTGGCGGCCGCTGTATGTATTTTGGTGTCACGCTCTCTGCAGGGTATTTTGCAAGGGTTAGCAGATTTATTGACAGCGAGATGAATCCGAGTTAAAAGAGGCGCATTGACGGCAGCCGCGTCGACGGACGTCCGCGCGACCGCCGCTGACAGCACCCCTGTGGCGGGACGCCTCTGCCGGCCGCTTTTTGATGCCACCCCGCGCGCTTCTTCATCCCCCAATCAAATTGACGTATCGGCATATATGTGCGAGCGAAAAAAAAATCACGATATAACAAGATATTTCTGCAGACATCTTTTCTGCACTTAAAACTCCTAGGCTCATCGCTGCACTATAGTTAGTGGCTAGTGCTGTGGTTGTACTAAAGGTGCAGCGACGAGCCCAAAGATTTTGGAGTGTGCAAAGTTATATATTTTATACGTCCAGCACTTTTCTTATATTTATGATCTATTCACGTGTGAAATTGATACATTGGAATTGAATTACAGATTTTATGTAAAAAATTGGGTTACATGCACGGGCACCAATCAGTGTCAAATGTCACGCTATTGATGCAATTTGTACAACCTCAGATGTAAGACACTATGAAAACCTCATTATTTATAAACTCAATAACAACTTAATAAGAATATATTTTCTCTGATGTGATGTTTATTTTTTAGCAATTACCTTCGCTTTTTAAAACTCTAAAAAGTAAAATAAAATTTAGAATTTATTTGATATCTTATTTAGGCTATAAAATTTTTAATGACACTCCAAGATGACGACAGCAATTTGAAAGGGCAATTTTTCTTTAAAAAAACCAAGAGTTTCAAAAATATTTCCTTTCATAAATTAAATTGTAATAAATGAATATTATATTTATTTACCAAACTCTATTGGATTGAAATTACTTCACTTATTCACTGTATCACATATTAATTCTTTAAATGATGTTAAAAATACATTAAATTCATATGGTTCATATTTAACAACTTATGGGCAATAATATAAAAAAATTAAAGAATTTCAGTATCAAAAATTTTGTAAACGTCACAACATAAAATATTGGAGTAAAAACAAGAAATTCGATTATTGTCAGAGGTGAAAGAGTTTTTGCTGGGGGTGAGAAAAGTCTGAAAATCGTCTTGTGTCTCGCGGGTGTTTCTGAAGCGGAAGTGCGCGCTGTATCGCATGTGAACGAGGCCGCCGCACGAGAATTGAATTTTCCTCCCACGAACTGCTGGCGAGCGAGATATTTATTCGCTAACTTTTATTCTCTGCTGTTGCTCTCTTTCGTGATCCGGTGAGTGGCGTGCCAAAAGTCAAGAACTTCCTGCCCAAATTCCGCCCGCTCTTGTGCCACTGCCAGTATAAATAATTATTTTGAACCCACGGACACGCACCGGGGCTCATTTTCAGCCAAAAAGAAGCTTTAATGACTGCGCCGTCCTAAATTATGTATTTATATTTTTCCCTCGCACGGAGAAAAGCAGTTAATGGGGGTGTTGGGAGGGTTGTAATTGATACCAGTAATGACGAAACCCCCGCAGTGCGAGCGACTGACAATGATGAAGGTGTTGCTTTTGATTCACGTCCGAGTAATTACTGCGAGCGACTCTCCAGTTTCGCACCTCATCATCGCGGCGCGAGAGCTTTTCACTTAATTGAGAGCCAGAGAAAAAGCCCTTCACCGCTTTAACCACTCGGAGAGGAAAAAATGTTTCCATTAAAATGAGAGAAGAAATTCGACTAAAAAATTAAAGACCAAGTCTTGACATTATGAAACCGTTAAAAGATTTTTATATGTCCCAAAACTGGATGAAAGCTTAATTTAACAGATTTGGAGACACAAAGCTTGCAAAGAGGAAAATTGAAAGTTGTTTGATTATGTTTTATAAAATTGTAATCGTCAATAATTAAAATAAGTAAATAAATAATTTTTTTAAATTTTACTATTTTTATTAGCAGAAATTTTTGCTTTGGAGCATTAATCTATTTTAAATGTAGAGTCCTCTCATTTGTTGTTATCTCAGTTAACTTATCAAATAATTTTCAATTTAAAATGCTTATAATGTATTCTGTATATTCATTTTTGTCATCAAGTACAATAATTCCAGAACTATACCACTCGCACGGGTTTGGTGCGCAGCAGGTTGCATAACCTTATATGGATTCGTTTGAACTACAAGAAAATTGATTATAATTCCTAGTAATTAGCAAATTGCTAGAGTGTGGTGAGGATGAATCATCTAAAATAAATGCTTCAATAATTTTTTCTATATGTTAATTTTCAGCATTGCACAAATATTGATCTCATGTTTTTGTATGTATACACATTTTTATGCCGATGCATGATTCCGCTTAGTATACTTTTTTTTGCGATGTACCGTATCATGTATGGGAGAATAAATAAATAAATAATATCAAATTGATTTTATCAATGAAACAAATAAAAAATTTAATTCTTGCTTTATTAAATTTTGACAGAATTTGAGGTTTTAAAAATTTCTTTTTGGCAAATTAATTTAAACAAGACATAGTTTTTTTAATATTTTATTTGTAAACAATAAAATATTTAAATAAATTGTTGAAAAAACACTTTGTTAGAATAAAAAGGGAATTTGCAGACAATTTGGCAAAACGATGTTAAAAAAATATTTTAAAAATGAACCTCTGTTTTTCTCATGAAATTATTCGGCTGAATTTTCAACAAGAATCTGGAAATAAGCGTAGATGGGTCTGATGGATAAAATATTCGCCGCTTATCCAGCCAATTCGGCAGAATGAATGCCAAAATTGTTGTTTCCTGAGGCGGCGGCGGCGTTGTCGGTGGGCAATCAATCTGAAATTAGGATCATTCATCCCCTCGAGTGCACGCTCGGTTTGGCGCTTGACGTTTTGAAAGCTATTGAAAAGCGCGTATGGATTTTATACATATAAAAGCAGGGACGCGCACCGATCGCTTTGCCGTCTATATACGTACGTGTACATCCATATTTATCAAACACACGCCGCGAAAGCCAACTATGCAGACTTCCAGGCGCTATTATGTGAGCGCAGGCCAGCAAGCACGGCTGAAGCTGGGCGGGTAATCGTTTTTGATCTATTGAGGCAATAAGCATGGGGCGCAGTTTATCACGGACACACAGAACCGCTCGATCGCAGCCGCACATAATGGCGCGGTGGCGAAGAGGCGAAAAAATCCGCAGTTGGGCGAGAAAAGGAGATCCTTGCCTGGCAGCTCGGCTAAATGGTTCTCGCTATTTTCCCATCACCCTCTCACTGTATAAGAAAAGATGAGTGTGGGATTAAGACTTCTTTCTCCGAATCGGTTATAGTTTCCTATTTCCCCGATAATACTCTTTGATATAAAGTGATGGGATTATGAAAGAAGTGGCTCTCAGACGCCGCATCCACCTCAAGTAATTTATTTAGAAATTCACTTCATGCATTCGATTGGAGAATTGATGATGGTTGGAAACAAATCACCTGGGAATCAATTCAACTTGATTCTAATTAATATAGATTAATATTATTAATCATGTTTTAAGTTTAAAGATACGATAATTAATCATTTTAATTTAAAAATTCACATTCCCTACCAGAACTCAAAGAAGTATTTTTCCAATTCTTTATAGTCTAGATTGTCAAGAATGCGAGATGACAGACTATTTTTTTTTTTAATTTTATTATTATATTGCAGGTAATATAAATATTTGTAAATCATAAGTTATATGAACGCATTTTGATACTAAAAAATTAAACAATTTAGTAAAATATTAACTTAATGTATAATAATAAAATTTAATAATAAATAGTAAACATTATTTATTTTTCATTTTAATTTTTTATGATTATATATAAATATTAATAATCAAATTTAGAGAGTCAAAATGAAAAAAAAAAATTGCAGCATAAATTCAGTGCATACTTCTAAGGCTGTACAAATTAATATGTTGA